CAAACCAGGCACGGGGAGCCTATTTGAGGTCATACAGAGATCGATGAAGCAAACAAACCTGATCAGAAGACTCGGACGATCACGGAGGAAGCTCCATGTATACGACCTCCTTAAGATCACCGTGCAGAAATGCGTTCTTGACATCAAGCTGAAAGAGAGGCCACTGGCGAACAGCAGCAACAGCAAGGAGAGTACGAACGGTTTGCATCTTGGCGACAGGAGCAAAGGTCTCATCAAAATCGACCCCATACTCCTGTGTAAAGTCCTGCGCCATTAGCCGAGCTTTGTACCGCTCAAAGGTGCCATCGGGATGAAACTTCAGCGAGTAAATCCATTTACAGCCAACTACGGGAACATATGGGGGAGGTCGTGGAACAACTGTCCAAGTACGATTAGCAAGCAATGCGGCATTCTCCTCGTCCATAGCCCGCTCTCAATGCGGATTCCCTTTCGCCTGTCGATAACAAGTGGGAATGACAATGGAATCCACACTGTATCCAAAAAGATCATGAAACTTGACCGGCGGCTGGCTCCGAGTTCTGCGAGTAGAACGACGAGGAACCAGTGGCGGAGAAGAATCCGGAGACGCTGCTGCCGACAGGGTGGAGTTGGAACCGGAGGAGGGCGGCTACGGCGGGCGGGAGTGCTCCATCAACAAGGACGTTATCATCATCTTCATCATCAGGAAACAAGGGTAATGGTGATGACAAGGAGGCAAGGGGTGATGACACGGATTAGACATAAAACATAAGGTTCTCAAGAAATATGACATGGCATGCAACACGAATACGTTGGGTCGTAGGGTCGAAACAAAGATAGCCCTTTTGACTATCACTATACCCTAAGAAGTTACAATGTACAGTTTTCGACGAGAGTTTAGACCGTTCACGACGAGGAAGCAAGACAAAGCACATACAGCCAAACACACGAAGACGACTATAATCAGGATGGCGGCTAAACATGACAAAGAAAGGAAACCGTTGGTTCAAAACTGGAGTGATTTGGTAGTTACTCAAACGAACACTGTTGCCACATCTTCTGGCCAAAATCGGGGAGGAGCCCGAGAATGTAGAAGCAAGGCACGAGTCAACTCGACCACGTGTCAATTTTTGCGCTCGACCAGTCCGTTTTGCTGAGAAACACCAGGACAGGATTGTTGGAACAAAATACCACAGGATTTGTAGACTTCAAAAAGGGGATCAGAGCTGAATTCGCCACCAGGATCAGAACGAATGATGCGAACTGTCTTATCAAACTGGGTTTGATCATATCCAAAAATTCCTTTGCGACGGAATATAATTCAGATTTCAAACGGAGGAAATACACCCAAGTGTAACATATGGCGTGATCAACGAAAGGCAAAGTACTTAAACCCCGAACGAGATAGAGTAGGACTGGGACCCCATAAATAGGTATGAACTAAATGAAACGGATCAGAAATCATGGTTTGGCTGGACGGGAACGAGATACTTTTAGCTTTGGCTTCAATACAGCTGGAACAAATAGATTTTGAGGACAAGTCACCAACCTTATTACCAAACAAACTTTGTTGAAACATAGCAGACAACCGACGCGAATTGGGATGACCCATACGTGAATGCCAAAGATCCCAACTACTAGCCTGGGGACACGAAAGAACAGGAAAAGAACTACACGAAACCGAAGCCGAATTGGAAGGACTACACGAATGACTATGGGTTGGTGACAAACTCGATCAACTCGAGAGTTCCTCTAGATGAAACGACCGTCCTTGTTTACTCCCGCGCCGGATCAGCCTCCCCGTCGTCAGATCTTGAACAAAGCAACCCGATGGGGAAAACACAACAGAACAATTGTGGTCAGTAAGCTGGCCAACGGATACCAAATTAGGATAGAGCTTAGGAACCTGTAATGTGTTCGATAACACAAGGCCATGATCATGGACCATCCCCATACCCGCTACATTTAAACATTCACCATTAGCAACCTAGAGTTGAAGATCTTTAACAGGAGCTACATTATTAAGCTTGGTCAAATCACCCGTCATGTGATTAAAACACGCGGAATCGAGGAACCAAGTCTTACCGGACACTTGGAGAGCTGCAAAGGGCGTACTAATGGTTGTTGGAAGCGCCTTGTTTGAGGCGGCCTGAACTAGCTTCTCAATATCAGTGGAGGAAACACCACCACCAATGAATGATGCTGGCTGAGTAGCATACGCCGGGCGAGCTGGAAACGGGGTAGCAGTAGCAGGGGAACGTGAAGAAGCAACAGCAGGAGCCCCAGTTTGACGACCCTTCAAAACAGGACATTCAAGAATGATATGTCCTGTGGATTTGCAATAGTTGCAGATGTTTCGTTTCTTACATAGACGCTGGGGGTGACCAATTTCTTTGCAATAGTGACACTTCATCTCACTCGGAGGGATGCGTCTCTGAAACTGGGGACGGTTAATAGGATAAACAGAGTTGGAGGCGGCAGTGCTATTACCAGACTCAACGGTGGCAAAGATAGTGGACTCGCTAGCTCTTGGACGAACATCCAGCTTCTCCTGAGTACGCAATCGCGTTTCTTCGCGGATCAGCTGGCCCAGGATCCCATCCATGGAGAGCCCTTCTTGATTGATCAGGTGAGATCGGAGAGCTTCAAACTCGTGACGCAATCGCATAAGGAATTGAAGGATGCGACCTTGCTTCCGTTCTTCTTTCACTTCAGCGGAGACAGCGGCGGGACGGAGAGCAGCGGTAAGTAGGTCCTGCTCAGTCCAAAGGAGTTGGGCCTCATTGTAGTACGAGGCAACATCCCAGTCTCCTTGCTGCATGCTGCTCAAAGCACACTGAATATCGAACTGGCGAGCGGAATTGGATTGGGTGTATGTGGCAGCAAGATGACGCCACATCTCGTGGGCTGTAGACAATAAACGAAGGCCAAGAACAATCCCGGAATCAACAGAATTAAGGAGCCAGGACTTTACCCTTGCGTTGTACTGGGTCCAGCGAGAAACCTCTAATTCGGTAGCAGGCGGTGAGGACGGCTTCGGAAGAGTTCCGTTCAGCACAGGGAGCAGCCCTTTTCCTTCAACGAACGTGCGGAATTGGAATTCCCAGAGTGCATAGTTCTTCGCATTGAGACGCACGTTGATGCTCTTCGATTCCATCGACGAAAGCTCTGATACCATGTTAGGAACGTGAACCTGAATCAAAGAAACAAGCAAGAACGATAACACGAGACACAGATTTACGTGGTTTCCCCAGATATTGGGACTAGTCCACGGGAGAGTCGGTACTCTCCGGCTGATACTCTTATTTCATATACCTTTAGCTTGGTTACAAGAGAATATTATATAGTCTTCGGTAGGGTACATCTGCAACACTAACCCTAGCTCCTAATCCACGTAGGACTCCTTGTACAATTGCATGGGCAGCCACGAAGCCCATAACAAAACCCCAAAACCCAATACATAAATTTACGTCCCAACATATACAGGCCCAGAACTTCATGCACGTATACATGCATTAACAAGTTAAACTAATTATTTTTTATAATAGACATTAAAATAATTCATACTTTAATAAATTAACTTAAATTGAAATTTCTTATGAAATGTATGAATTTTCATGAATTTGAAATTGATGATGTATCATTAAAAAAATTCAATTATGTATAGTGTTGATATTTTGCTAGTAATATAGTTATACAAAAAAATTGATTTTGCTAAATCTAAATTCTGCGAGACAAAAAGTTTGGTATGATTAAAGAACATACATTCCATTTTAATAAAAACAAATAGATAAAAAAGGATAGAAAATTGGATTGGGAAATACTTGTTACCATTGTTGTCATTTCAGTTCAAAACATAATTATAATGTCGAGAATTACGTTATGCATTCCAGAGCCTATGTGGTATAGGCGTTAACCTAAAATTATGTTTTTAGATCGTTCAACGCAAATTGCAATTGTTGAAGTTATTTTCAATAATTTTATAGAGTATTTTTTAGAAAATTGAATTACTCTTATTTGGTGAACATTGTATTCTCATGGATGAATGTAACTAGTCATTGGTTGATTAGATAGAGTTCAGAAGTATATACATAAAATGAAATTCATAAAGATTTGCAACAAATCCAATAATTATACACAGAATATTTAATTATGGTGAGAACTTTAAACTTGTATCTAAGAAAGGGAGTACATTTAAAACCAATACATGCATATAAATATGTTATGAACTTGGCCAAGAAAACAGAAAAGAAAAAAAAAACACTTTGAGAAACAAATCAATAATGAGCACCATATTATTGATGGAATGGGAATAACTCTTTCTTTTCCATACATAAAAAAAAAATCTTCTTTTGTTAAGCCAATAGCAAACATGGTACCATTTTAAGCAACCTAACTTCACTTACCATTGTTGTCATTTCAGTTCAAAAACATAATTATAATGTCGAGAATTACGTTATGCATTCCAGAGCCTATGTGGTATAGGCGTTAACCTAAAATTATGTTTTTAGATCGTTCAACGCAAATTGCAATTGTTGAAGTTATTTTCAATAATTTTATAGAGTATTTTTTAGAAAATTGAATTACTCTTATTTGGTGAACATTGTATTGTCATGGATGAATGTAACTAGTCATTGGTTGATTAGATAGAGTTCAGAAGTATATACATAGAATGAAATTCATAAAGATTTGCAACAAATCGAATAATTATAAACAGAATATTTGATTTATGGTGAGAACTTTAAACTTGTTATCTAAGAAAGGGAGTACATTTAAACCAATACATGCATATAAAATATGTTATGAACTTGGCCAAGAAAACAGAAAAGAAAGAAAAAACACTTAGAGAAACAAATCAATAATGAGCACCATATTATTGATGGAATGGGAATAACTCTTTCTTTTCCATATAAAAAAAAAAATCTTCTTTTGTTAAGCCAATAGCAAACATGGTACCATTTTAAGCAACCTAACTTCACTTATATAAATTGATACATCAAGAACAATTCATCAAACATTCATATAAAACTTTTTATACAAGACTTGAACAAGACGCAAGAGAAGCAGGAGAAATAAGTCATACCACAGGATATGGAAAAGAGCATTATGATGAAATCGGCTCTCTTTTTCGCTCTCTTGATTTTGTAGCTGGTAAGATTAATTGGTTTTGCTCTCTAAGTTATATTGAAAAAATCACATATATGCATATTGTATATAGAATAATAATATACGTGAGTACTTGGCTTCTATATTTTCTACTCGATACAATCTAATTTTTAACAAAATATAATAATTTATTGATTTACTAAAACTCATAGTGTGTGTCGTTATTGTAGGGCTGGAAATGAGATTTGCAGAAGGGAGGGGACCCATTGTTTCTGGAAAATGCAACAAAGTGGAAGAGTGTGAACATACACCATTTTGCGATGGATGCAAAGTGTGTTCGTGTCTAGAAACACACTTGTGGTTGTGCTCCAACTTGTTGTGTGATGCTAATACTAGTGATAACAATGTCACCGCTACTACTAGTACTCTACATCATACCATCAATTCTTCATCTCTAGCGCATTGAAGCTACCGTTGATCATCTATTATCGGCCTTTATTTTGCATATTATATTATTATGTTGAACTTTGTCTATGTTGAGACAAAATAAAATAATAATAACTGTATGGTGTAGTAAGGAACTAAGTCAGAAAAAAAAAAAACTATTTCCTCATGTTTGGCTTTCATTTTTATGATGAAGAGATCATTTATCTTGTGGAATTGGGTATTGGAATTGAGAATGTTATGTTATGATAAATTATTCATTTGTGAAACAGTAGACGGACAATGTCTTGTGAAATTGTTAATTCTCTATTTTCTCTTTCAAATTTCTCTATTGAAGAAGAATTTACAAAAAATATAAAAATGTAATATATTATATTAATCAATAATAATGTATTGAAAAATAAAATATTAAATTTCAACACCCAAACCACTCCAAGATTCGAGACTCAAATGAGTAGAGATTATTTTAGTTCCTCCTAGTGAAATGTTAAACTAAGAAGATTGATAACACCATTTCTACATCCCTAAAAATAGTGGAATTTAATACTATAGAGGAATTGAATATGTGTAAAGTGTAAGAATTCAATTTCATAAGATGGTTTGTTTTCTAAAATGACAAACTAGATTAGGAATTGGATTTATGTAAAGTGTATGAATATCATAAGATAAACATATCCATAGCTTATTAATATCATAATGTACATATATGAAATTATTATTTTTAGTACGAAGAGGTAAGATCTCGTAAGTCATAAGTACAGGGATGTGTAAATGTAAGAATCGTTCTTCTGACACAAATGACGCTCATAAAGGTGATAGTGTATGAACTACGCAAAAAAAAAGTTATTTAATTTATAGTACAAAGCTTTTGTGAGTTTTTATCCTCTTTTTCTTCCTTAAATTTAAGTTTTAGTAAAAACGAAAATACATTTACACATTTTTCTAACTTTCTATAAAGACCATTCTTCACTCTGAAAACTATAAAATTAATCAATCTAATATCCCTCTCAGAGAAAGAATTTCAATTTACAACTTTGCCCTTTAATAAAAGATATTATGTTATATCCTTAATAGTCATTTCTTACAATTCATTCACTACTTCTCTAAAAATCCTACTATTCATCAGCTTATCAACTAACTTTCTATTAATAAAAAAAAATACGCAAATGTCATTAACCCATACTTTTCTAAACTATTATGAACATACTTTTCAGAAGAAAATTTCCCAATTTCAATAAAAGGTTCCACAATTTTTAGAAAATGTGCAAACAAAATCTCATTAAGTAAAAAGATGTGCAAATAGAAAAATCGTTTTATACCACAAATGATCCTGACGGTGGCAATACCAAAATAGTGTATGAATATGAAAAATTATTTTTTAGCATAAAGACATAAGATTTGATTAAGTACAACGAAGTGAAAAAGGAAGAATCATTCTTCCATCATAAATAATTAATAATAAAAATTCACTTTACGCCACAAGTAAATTCTAATGTTCTTCGTGTTTAAACGTTCATAAAATATGCATACAATGAAAACACATCCATTTAAATGTGTAAACACTCAAGAGAGGTGGATTATCCAAGGAGGAAGTGGATCTAAGTGTAGGCCCCAATGGGGGTGGGATACAGTCACTTTCACCATGGGTTGTGAGATTCACAATCAAGGGTATTTTGGGTATGACAAAAAACGAATTTCTTAATTAATTTTTTTGTATTAATTATGGATTGGAAATTTAAAACTCATATTAAATATATGCTTTTTTAATTTAAATCCTACAATAAATATAACTCTCTCTCCTCTTCCTTTTCTGGCAGACACACCACTCCGACCGGCTGACTTTCTGACCGACAGACTTTCTCCGGCGAAATCCTTGAATAATACTCGCCCCGACCACCTGCAAAAAATTACCGCTCCATCAGTGCGCTAGTGGTACGCTACCGCTACTACTGGTACCACTACTACTGGTACTACTACTAGTACAGCAGTACCAGTACCATCTGGTAGCTGGTAGTGGTAGAGTACCATTATCATTTGGTACCACTACCATCTGGTACCTGATAGTGGTAGCGTACCACTATCATTTGATACCATTACCTATCATTTGGTACCATTACTGGTAGTGGTAGCGTACCACTACATCTAGTATCACTATCAGAAGAAAACCACTAGAAAAAAATCATATCTGAAAAACGAAGGAGAGGAGAGGAAGAGTATAGTGGCAAAGGGACTCACACGAAAGAGGCAAGGAGAGGAGAAACGACAACGGCAACAGGGAGTGAGGGAGGCGGAGGATTGCGGAGGCAACGGCGGTGGATGGCTTGGCAGGGGGTGAAGGGAGGCGGAGGGTTGCTGGACGGAGACGATGGAGGGCGTGACAGGGGTGGAGGGAGGCGGAGGGCGGCGAGGGCTGTGGAGGGCGGCGGCGGCGGTGCCGTCTGTCTGCTAGAGAGGAGGAGGGAGAGAGGGAGGGTGGGAGGAGTTAGGGTTTATGTATTTATATGAGAGGGAGGGTGATGGGGTGTGGTAATATTTTTTCCTTCCCAAAATACCCTTATTTTAGTCCTAACCATTAATTTCAAAAAAAGAAGAGAGACAGGAGAGAGAGTGTATCTAATGTCTAGGAAGTAAGTTGTGAATCTCACAACCCATATAAGGGGAAGTAACGGTATCTCACCCCTAGGCAATGTATTTTGCGCATAGAGACTTAGAGAATCACTTTATGATTTGAAAAAATATAATTAATGAACATGGATCATTTCTACTTTCTTCTATCTGAATGAACTATATTAATGTACACTCCAATGACATTAGGAAGGCCAGACACCTCACCTCTGATGATAAATGTACACTCTGTGATGCGGATATCGAATCCAATAGCCACTGTCTGCGAGACTGTATCAAGATCAGGGGAGTGTGGGAAACAATTGTCCCTGCTTCTCAACATCATCAATTCTTCTCTACAACGCACGATGAGTGGATGAAGAAGAATTTGGAGAGCATCGAGACTGTAGAAGAGACAGGGGATTGGGCTAGTTTCTTTGCTCTCACTTGTTGGTATATCTGGAAGCATAGGAACGAGTACATCTTCAAGTCAACCAGACTATCCAGCTCCACCCTCATCAATTACATTGTCTCGAAGGCAAAAGATTGGATGAGAACGTGGAAGAAAGCTACAGCCATCAAAGACTCTTCAACCAAACCGAGGAGAGAAGAACAACTAATTGGTTGGACTCCTCCTCAAGTAGGGTGGAGGAAGTTAAACACGGATGGGGCAGCTCAAGGGAACCCAAGAATTATCACAGCAGGAGGAGTCCTTCGAGACAACGAGGGAGAATGGATCGCGGGATTCGTCTGCAAAATAGGAACTGGGTAGGCAATTCTAGCAGAGCTTTGGGTATCCACCAAGGTCTGGAGCTAGCTTGGAAAAAGGGTACGCAATTTCTTTTACTCGAAACAGATTCTCAGCTAGCAATTGAGCTCCTGAACAAAAGAACTGACATGGTGCACCCTCACGCCACTCTCCTGAATTCTATTAGACGTATGTTGTGTTGGACGATTTGGAAAGTCGGAATTGACTCTCTGTGCCTCCGAAAAAGGAATGCGCGCAATCTATGGATATCAACAGATTTGATCTTCCAACGGCTAGTTGTTCTGCCTATTTAATCCCAGCTGCAGACGTTTGTAAAGGGACTTTTGCAGAAGAAACTTTGGAGTGGTAAAGGGCTCGGTTGGCAAAAGGGTGGTTCTAGAGGGGTAAAGGTTCTCTAGGTTGTGGTTGTGCAGATCAGTGTTGATCTGGTGGTTTTCTTTTATGTTCTGTCATTTATCTTTGTGTTCCATTATCTGCATTTTCATTGTATCGAGTCTTAAAAAAAAAATTCAACAAAGGGTCTCCCAGACTGTATTCTGGGACGTGGAGTACACCATTGCACCAGGTGGAACCACGTTAAAAACGTGTTGTGTACTGTGATCTTCTCTTGTCCCTGTCCCTCTGTTTTTCCTCTGTTTCTGTTCTGCTTTATCTACGATCTCATATCAGCTGCCTTCAAGCTTTACTTGAGACATACTTTGGGCCAAAAGCCTGCGTTGAGAATCAGTTTGATAAGCAGACCGGTCTATCTTGCTGTGTTGGGCTCAAGGCCATCTTGGCCCATCTCTTTTATTCCGCTGTCAAAATAAGAAGAAGTCTGTCTGCTTTTCGTCTTCTTCCATTTCATCTCTGTTTAGTCAAAATCCCTAATCTCTGATTTCAAGTGGTATCAGAGCCTGGTTTGAAGAAGCTCACTGCTGCCAAGGTTTCCGATCTAATGGCTTCTGGATCGTTCGGACAAGCCACCTTAAATCATCCTCCATCTTCACGGGGTCCAACTACACTGCTTGGAAGAAGCGCATGAAGCAGTTCATGTGTGGAGTGGATGAAGAACTCTGGCTTATTGTTCAGAACGGCCCGATCCCAATGAATATTGAGGAGCAAGAGTTCTGGTCAGCAGCCCAAAAGAAAAGTGCTCAACTAAACCAAAGGGCGATGCACGTTCTGCAGTCAGCTATGAATCCGGACGAGGCGGATCAAGTCGAGAACTGCGAAACTGCGAGAGAGATCTGGATTGCCCTAGAAAACACGTATGAAGGTACGTCGAATATCAAAGAATCTCGTATTGATCTTCTTATGCATGATTATGAAACGTTTAATATGATCGATGGAGAAGGAATACATGAAATGTATTCTCGTTTTACTGTTCTTGTTAACAAGTTAAAAGGTTTAGGAAGAACTTTTCAAGTTAAAGACCTGAATCGGAAAATTCTTAGGTCTTTACCTAAGGAGTGGTTACCAAAGCGAACCGCTGTAGAGGAAGCTAAGAACCTAACTACTCTGCCTACTAATGAGCTTATAGGCTCATTACTTAGTCACGAGCATGTTATCAAGCAAGTTGGTCAAGAAGATGAGAAAAGAAAAAAGAATCTTGCTTTCAAATCCAAGGCTGTTGTTATGATTCTGATAGTGAATCAGATTTTGATAAAGAGTTTGCTCTAGTTAGCAAAAATTTCATCGCATGCTAAAATATAAAAATGATAAAAAGAAATACTCTGATGATAGTAAGCCTGTGTTTTATGAGCGTAACAAACCTGTTCATCAAGATAGGCTGCTGTATCAGC